TCGCAGGCCAGTGGGTGGGAAGTCTTGTGGATCCAGTGGCATTGTAAGCATCTCAGCACTGGCAGGGGTCTTCATGTGGCTTCTCCAGCTCAGGGGACTAGTGTAGCTCCATGTGTCTTATCAGCTTCAATGTCTCGCAGGGAGTCAGCATGCGTCCTGCCTCCAGCAAGCTATTTATCTCCTGAGTGCCTCCAAATGAGGCCATCAAGCTGTGGCCCAATTGACAGGCTAAATTCTACCCCTTCACTCTCATGTCTCAAATTGACAACAGATTATGTAACTACCAGCATAGATATACTCTTTCCCTGATTTACCTAATTGAAGCTAATACAGATATTTTTTAATAGCAACAAGATTACTGTTTATTATTTTTTGAAAGTATTTTAAAAGCTTTTATCAAAGGAATGGTGGACTTGGTTAAAAGAAATAAAATTTCAATAAATAAAATCATAGTTGTGTCATACCGCTCCTTACTCTTTGTTCTCCTCAACAAAGTAACCACTTTGAACTATTTCTATGTTCAGTTCTTATAGTTTCCCATATATGTAACAACTTTTATATGCTGTTCTTTCTAGAGTTATTAATATTGCCTTTCATATGATCCTATTGATATGGAAAAATAGTACTCATGCACGGCAGTAAACTTCTCCACTGTACTTATTCTAGAGGGAAAGCCTAGGGATTGAAGCCTCTGTTTGTGGTCTCAGCAAGCGTAGGCTATTTCCGCTGTTGTCCTTGCTGTTTCTCAGTCCTCTCTTACACACATGCACTTACATCACAACCCAAAAGATTCTAGTTCACAGCAACCCTATTGCACACGTACAATCACTCCTCCTTTCCAAAGTCAAGAGGAAGATACATAAAGCAGCTCATTTTCCAAGCTCCTTTATTAAGTTCTGTGGCAAGTTTTAGTCCTTTCTGCTAAGATTTGTAAGATAAGAGCTCTAGTGTTGAGTGGCATCCACATACAGCCAGGCATCTGCGATGCTGTTTCCCTGGTGGACTTCCCTTGTGGATCTCCTCCAGTAGGGAGGGCTCCATTGCATTGGCAGATTAGGTAAATACATTTTAGTTACGTCATATTTCCATAGGCCACAGAGGGAGTCAAGCAGCGCAAAGCAGCCTGGGGTCTCCAGCATGAGAGGGGGCCACGTTTGTTGTGGGGGACCCCCCCTCACCCCCACCAGCTTCCCACAAATAGTAGCCAGGCTGTGAAAGGCTGGTGCTTATACTGCTCAACACTCGGCCATTGAAACTCCTAGAGAGCACAGAACTCCTCTGACAAACCTGGGTCATCCGGGGTCAGAGTTGATGTGCTGGTACCTGCTTGTGTTTTCTAAGAACACCTTATGCCTAATCACCAGATAGCAGCACCCTGAGGGAATGCTACCATTGATGCAGTTTCTCCACAAATGTCCCTGTCCAGATACAGTCTAGGTCACGGGTTGGAGGGACCTTTTCATCTCCCGCCCAAGTCCCTGTTCCTATTTATGATTTGACGGCATAGGTTCCCACATGTTTGTGTCGCTAACTCCCGTCCTTTCCCTGTGGGCCTCTCTGCCTTATCTGACAACTTCCTCAAGGTTGGAATTTGATACATCCTGCACTCCCCAAAGCCCTTCCTTTTTCACCTTGACAGCTTTTGTCTTCTAAGCTACTTTCGCCTATGACAGTAATTGTTTATTTTTTGACATCCTCACTAGAAGCGACAGTCCATGAGAACAGGGATCTTTGTTGATTCTGCTCCCGAGAGAGCCTTAAGCCCCTAGAATAGTTATAGTGGACAGTGTGACTCAAAAAAAATTTAATAGTTTATAGTTAGTGTATGCTTAATGTCTTCTAGGCATTGTGATAAGTGTTTACTGACAATCAACCAATTCCATTTCATTTTAGGAACAAAAATAAGAATTCTGGGCAGGTCCAATTAGGGAGGGATAAAGCTAGGATTGAAACTGCATCATGACTTTGCTGCATTTGCACTGCCTAGGAAAAGCATACAAGTCATTAGGCAGGGTTTTTCCAGCACACCCTTTTGTCTTATCCTAACTAGCATGATGTATACATTCTCCTAACAGTTGAAGGAGCATTGTAGAAGGAAGCATGTTTTTTCCTTGGTTCGTGCATTGTATCTTCAAGGAGTTCTACGGCATAGTGGTTGCATCTTGGGCTGCCATGTACAAGATCAGCTGTTGGAAACCACCCCTGCCCTGCGGGAGAAAGGCACGGCTTTCTACTCCTGAAAGCCTGACAGTCTCTGAAACGTCAGGGGGGGTGCTTCGCTGTCCTGTAGGGTCACCATGGACCAAAATCAACTTGGTGGCAGTGAGTGCAATGAGCAGATGAGAGTCTCTCCAAGTGGGCCAGAATCTTCTTTGATCTCTTTAGGAAGATACATAGATATAGACAGCTGAAGCTGAACTTCATAGATGCCCTTTGAAAATCAGAGTAAGAAGACTACCTCTAGTTTCAAGATGAAGTGAGGAAAAAGAGAATTACATCTAAATGAACTTATTTCATAGAGAGACAAGAGACAGTATTTAGTGGGAGGAAAGAATTTTCTGTGTCCTAGTTGCTCTCTTCAAATATAAAATGTTTTTGTTGGTTCTACATAGTCTGTGTGACAAGTTCAAAGTCAGGAATTTATTGCATTTGGTCTTAGTCTAAAACCATAAATGAAAGTGCTTTACAGGCGTTCATTCAAAGAATCTGGCAACCTACTGGCTGTAATAAGCTCTCTGAATGTGTTTTTTTTTTTCTAGATAATTCTAGTGCACTGATTGCATTTCTGGCATTTCTGATTATTGTGACATCCATAGCCCTGCTTGTTGTTCTCTACAAAATCTATGACTTGCATAAGAAAAGATCTTGGTAAGAACTGCTTTCCAAATGTAAAAATAATGAAAGTATTAATTAATAGCAATGGAAGCACATATCCATGGGGGCAGGGATGGAACCAATGAAGTGAAAAGTGGGAATTCAGAAAACAAATCTAGAAATGTATGTTTCCTGTTTCCACAGCAATTTAGATGAAGAACGGGAACTCGTTGAAAGGGGTAAGTGTGCAGATTTTTACTGATCAAAATTCATATCTGTGCATTTCAATTAATACAGTTTAAACAAACAAGTCGGTGTTTTTGATTTAACCCAAATCTGTTGAGAGGTGCCCTGGTGTCATAGGGGGCTACATGCTGGGCTGCTAACCACAAGATCAGCAGTTTGAAATCTCCAGGTGCTCCATGGAAGGAAAATGAGGGGGCTACTTCTGACTCTGCCTGTAGAGGGTTAGCAAGACTATAAACCCTTACAGGAGCAGACAGACTCAGTATCCTGTGGAGGGGCTGGTAGATTTGAGCTCCTGGCCTTGTGGTTAGCAGTCCCACAGCAAACTCCCAGGCCCACGACGGATCCTTATCCTTCCCAGGGCATAACACATACTGCTCCAGGTGCTCGAAGTCACAGAAGGGCAGGCAACAAACTCTTCCCTTAAAAGGTTTCAAACCTAAGAGAGGAAAATCGAAGTGCTGACAAATATTACAGTCCAGGGATAAATGCAACAGACGGATGTGTGTATTCTGCTAAAGAATCGAAAGCAGACAGCCCCACACGGGCAGGGGGAGATGCCAAATGTTTCAGGAAGGCGAGGAAAGGTCAGACTGACCTGTGAGGGAGCGGGAAGAGCACGGGAAGTCACAGAGAGGAGAAGGAAGTAAAGCTCCAATCCCTGTAAGCTTGGGAGCTGGAGGAGGGTACTCCCGCTGAAGGCGCAGGTATGCACAGGGCAAGGGGCAGCTCTTTGACTTAGGGGAGGGAAAGAAATTCCTTTTCTATTAAAATCCTTTTTTTTTAAGACATTTTAGGAAGAGGGATTAAATTTAAACTATGGTTAAATTTAAACTATGGTTAAACTAGGGATTAAATTAAAACTATGGGTTAAACATAAACTATGGTTAGTAACAATAAAGATGATGGTTTTATTTCTCATGTTCAAGAGAAGATAGCTTTCAGAACTTTTAAAGCTTGCTTCCAGTTGTCTTTAAGGGCTTTTCCATCTCTAGGCAGATGTGTAATATTGCCATCTGATATTGGATTATTTATTCATTCATTCTTTTCTTGATTTATCGACCCTAGATAGAACGTGAACTTTGTCACGGGAGAGATGTTCTGTTTTGTCATTCACGGTCTCATCCTCAGTACCTCTGAGAATATATGGAATGTGACACACATATCTATGACTAACTAAATAAATGAGAGTTCTGGCCACTGATTTAGATGCAAGGGAATGAAAAGGCAATGAATACCTAAAGAGAAGGGAATCCATTTTGAAGGAGTTAAGTTTCACTTGAGAGCATCAGAATGCTAACTGTCCCTTCAAATACGTTGAACTTTACGTAGACTCATTAGCCTTTACCTCAGTTCCCAAGCCAGGAGGTGGTCCTGCCCACCTCAGAAACCCAAAGAAACAATGAGTTGATGGTGAATATGATCATTGTGATTGGGTAGGAAGTTTACACACACAGTGAAGAAGTGTATGTTTAAGCCTCAAGGACAATCACCTTCTTTGTTAAAAAAGGGAAATTTAAAAAGAGTACTGAATATAAACACTCATGGCAAATGGGAGAGTAAGAGAAACATACTGTCTACCTGTGTGACAGCTCCATTTTCTGCTTCATCTAAATTCGTTGCTTTTCAAGACCCACATATGATTATAGCTCTTGATTGTTGATATGTATTTTTTCTTCTTGATAAAGTATTTAAAAAACGTGTATGACAAATAATGTGTTTCCCACTTTTGAGGCATTATGCATATGACTATTTAATGAACTGGTGTAATCACAATATCAAATTAGGTTGAGTTTGGGTAAAAAGTATCAATCATATCTTCTTTATTTGCATGTTTGAAATGTTTTATAAGCTAAAATGAACATAATAAAATGTAATCATTGTGACACTGGTAAATAAGTACGGTAATTGCTATAAAATACATATAAGCAAAAAAATAAGAAGTGTTGAGGTCATGGCACTGATGATAGATGGTTTGGAACCGGACATGTAAGTGCTTGTTCTATAGGCCGAGATAATGGGGAATGTCCATGAAATCATGTCATGTGCTTTGGGACTTATTCATGCATAAGGTATGAACAGTGAGGGCAGAAAAAAATTCTGGGTAGAACAAGTCAGATAAGGTTCTAAAGGACTCACCTAACACTAAGCAATTAAATTGTAGCCCTTACTCTATTGGAGCACCAGCAAGAGTGTTTGGTTGAGGTTCGCTTTCCTAAGAAGAGTTATGTTCACATATTTGAATTCCAGTAAATTAACCCATGGCAGTTAGTCGTGAGGTTAGTATGCGGGGAGAATGGAGACTGGAGGCAAGGGAGAGCCACGGATGACGAGGAGTTGATGAACCTGGCCACTGGCAGAAGAGATGGAACCTATGGTTTATGAGAAGATAAGACCTATCTTAGATAACTTGGAAGTTTCCCTCATCAATTCGTTTGTGAATGGTGATCCTGTTTATTGGGATGTGACACTCTAGATAAAAGGAAATGAGTTTCATTTTTAACATTTTGGTTTTGAGGAGAATAAGAATTAGGTGTGAGAAACAGCTAGGAGTCACTGGGAAAAGATGAACATAAGTCCCACTAGAGGCCTAAGGCACAAGGTTTATCTTATTTGCTTAAGCGTGAATGTTTCTGTGTGAGTGGGGTTTTCCATGTGGACTGTCTGGGAGGAAAGAAAACTCAGTAAAGAAGCTAGGATATAAATGTCATGAAATGTGTATAAAAGTTGAAGGATAGACTTAACCCTAGTCCTGAATCTTTAATGTGCTTAAAGATGATGAGAATCAACTAATGAATGTGGAGCCGATCCACGCAGATGTTTTGTTGGAAACTTACAAGAGAAAGATTGCTGATGAAGGGAGACTCTTTTTGGCTGAATTCCAGGTATGTGCACTCTTGACAAATGATGAATTCTATTCACCTGTCAGGATGATTTCACGTTAAATGCATTTGTACAACTGTCTTTCTTTATAGTTGATCTCACACAGTAGTACGACATAGTCCAAGCAAGTCTACATAGGCCAGAAAGAGACTTGTAGAAGACGGCAAGTTACTTATCATAAAGCTTGTAAATATTTTCAAGTAGTGCTTTATTTATTACTGTATTTATTACTAATCATGAAATTGTGTTAGAATATATTTGACTGATTCATTTTAAGCTATTACTGTCGATGATCATCCAACTATGTGTTCATATACATATTCAAGTCACAAAGTGATGAACACCCTATGAACTCTCACATATAACTATGAACTCTCACATATAATTGAGTATTATTTTTTAAGGAAACAACAAAGTTTTATTTTTCATAATACCTAACAATGTTCATTTAAAATACCATATGCAACTTGTACATCACTGTAAAGAAAATATGTTTCTGAGTGTCGTATTTGCTCAACTGATAACTAGCAAGGGGAGGAATTATATTCTCTGTGTTTCAGAGCATCCCACGGTTGTTCAGCAAATTTTCTATCAAGGAAGCTCGGAAGCCTTTTAACCAGAATAAAAATCGTTACGTTGACATCCTTCCTTGTAAGTATTTATGGAGACTAGAATTCTGTATATTAAAACTACTCGGGTGTTCAATATCTCACTTAAGTTTTCTTTTCTTTGAATAGATGATTACAACCGTGTTGAACTGGCTGAGATCAATGGAGATGCCGGATCCAACTACATAAATGCTAGCTTCATTGATGTGAGGAAAAGGCTTTTTTGCTGTTGGGTGTTGATGAAGATTTTCAATTTTTTTATCTATGCATTTCATTCATCCTTCTTTATCTTTAGAAAATGTTTGCGATCTCGTTAGAAATACTTGGAGCAAAGTACATAATGTACTGATATAAACAACAAAATCACTCCTTGATCTTTCTGTAACCAAGGGCTTTCCTTTATGAACAACAAGACACTAATAATTAACATATTCGGGTGGCCAATTATGTGCTGGATGATTTTTACATGTATCTAGCATAAGAGCCCCATATTCGCCCTAGCCATGTGTCCTATGTTCATTGTGTAGGTGAGAACTGGGGAGCTCTGGCCAGGTAGTTACCTGATGTGGATGCTCCTTGCTGACACAGATCACCTGTTCTTTGTATTTATAGTGTGTGTATTATATGCACATAGTAAAAATATCAGTGTATGGTTGATTTATTGTCCTTTAAAATTTAACTTACCATTTAATTTTTCAATAAGCATCACGTGATTCTCAAAACTTTAAATAGGATAAAAAAGAGACAGATTGATTTAGAATGTTTTCCTCCACTTAATCCTCAATGCACCTCTTGTTACCACTTACATGAAGAGTCCTCTAAGGAGGTTCTTGTTTATGCAGCAAGAGTTTCTTCCTACGCACACAGAGAAATACCATCATCTATAATTTCATTTCCTCTTTGTCCAAAAGTGACAGCATAGCTCTCTCTCACATTGTTCTGTGTCACGCTTTATTCACTGTAAGTGCATCTCTTGAAGATATGTGCTATCATTATAATGAGCAAGGTCTGGCTAGTGTTTTCTGGTAATGATTAGTTAGTAGATACTTTGGGGTGTGAAGGCCAAACTGTCTTTGTTGCAACTATCTGTCTCGACAGGCGAATGACTAACCTTTTAATGACAATTTACAATGTAGTGGTCATCCAAAAACCTGTATGTACACCACCAGGCAACGCTAGACTTGGTGTGCAGGCCATAGTTTGATGACACTGGACAGAGCACTTTCCAACCTCTTTCCATTAGGCTTTTAGAGTAATATGTGGTTGAGCTTCATTATGATTTATTTAATCAGTTCTTATATTAATGATCAGGGTATTAACTGTCATATCTAATATTGCATATCAGGAAAGACTGATGTAGTTTATTGCAATAATTCAGGAAATAATCTTGGTTTCTATTACACAATGAGTTGAGCTTTGGACTGCTAACTGAAAATTTACCTTTCAGAACCCAGTAGATATGCCAACGGAGAAAGAAATGTCAGTCTGCTTTCGTAAAGATTAGCAGCCTTGTGAACCCTATGAAGCAGATATGCTCTCTCCTGAAAGGATCAATATGAGTTGGAATTCACTTGACCACATGGGTGCTCGGTATATCTAGAGGATAAATTCCCTAAAGAGAGATTTGCTAGATCACAGGGCACATGCATTGGTAATTTGAAAGAGGAAGACACAGCAGGAAATCCCATCTGGGCTCAGCTCTGAACCTGCTCCTGGCTCCTGGCTCTTGGGCTTGTATTTTTTGGGTGTGAACACCCTCTGCTGATCGGAATGCCCCTGTGCAGCCCTCCGGCTGCTATGAAGGTCGGGTGATTTTTGTGTGGGCTCACAGCTGACTGGCTGCCCCTCACTGGGTTCTCCTCATAGAACAGTACACAGCTACCTCCTTTGGTGATCTCAGATCTCAGCAGCATAAAGAACTGGTTTTTGGATGTGTCTAGGTTTACTACAACAACAAGAAAGATGGTTCCAAATTGTCCTCCATAGGCATTCGACCCACTTATATTTATTCCATCAGCAATGCAGCAAAGAGTCCTTGGGTGGCACAAGTGGTTAAGGAGGCTATTAGCCGAAAACTTGGCAGTTCAAACCCATCTAAGATGCACCTCGGTAGAGGAACCTAGAGGCCTGATTCCAAAAGGACACAACTGTGAAATCCCTATGGACTGACTTCAGTCCACACACGTGGGTTGGCCATGAGTCAGAAAGGACTTGATGCCAACCAACAGCAGCGATTCAGGGGAGCGCTGCTTTCTACGCAGACTTGCCAAATGATAAGTCGATCAACAGCTTCTCTTTGACAATCAAAGGCATGGCAAACTGTATGCCATGTGTCTGCATGTCCCCAGATTCTCCTGAAAGAAAGAGCAATTAAAAGAGAGTTGTTTGGGGGTTTTGTTTTATCCCACATGAATATATAAACATTTACCGTAATAGTAGAAATTGTCCCCTTTCAAACAATGATATTTTATTTATTAACTTCATCATTTACTTAAAGTATAGCAACATCCAGAAATATATTTTTCCTGTATCAGTCATGCCACATACATCTTCAATATATGTCTTAGTCGAGAAGGAAAACAAGCGAAAACCTCCCCTGTCGAGCTGTTCCCGACTCACAGCTGCCCATCAGTCAGGAGCAGACTGCTCCTGGGTTTCCTGGACTGTCAATGTGCAGGGCAGCACACAATCCCAGCTTTCTCCCACGGGGAAGCAGGTGGGTTTGAACTGCCACCTTCATAGTTTGCAGGCCAATGCTTCACTCACCATACCACCCGGGTTCCTGATCTGTGTCTTAATCATTGATAAATTCCCTTCTAAAGCATCTTATGATTTTTAGTGCCAAGATCCTGGTGACTCTTACGGTAGTAATAATAATAATAATACAGTGTCTTATGTTGTACTATGGGTCACAGTTTCAGTGCTTTCCATGGATTTCTCACAATTTATCTCACAACCACCCCATGAAGTATTCTACATTTTGCATTTTGCTAGTGTGAGCAGAGCTGGGATTTCCCCACCCCCCACCCCCACCACCAATCATTCTTGCCCTAGAGACAATCATCCAAGCCAGTACAGTGTAGTACTGCCTCTTATCAACTCTGTTTGATATTTAAAATTTTCTATATCACTAATTTAATGCTGTCCCTGGAAATTTCATCCCTGGCAACAAATATCATTGTATTTCTTACCTGGAATGGCTATACAAATGGGAGAGAACTTCAGAGAATTAGTTAGAGGTAGAAATGTGGGATATTCCCCAGAGTGATTTGTTGAAATAAATTGAGTAAAAATTCCCAAGATACCTACATGAGGATGGTAAGATTAAACTGTGGCAAATGGTGCTGCAAGCAGTGACAAGAATCACATTAGAAATGTCTGAGTTACTGTTGTAAATGGAGTCACATCCTAGAAGAAAGAAAGCTTAATTAAAATTTTGTTTTTGGGTATATATTAACGATATAAGGTTTATGAATATTGCTTGCCAATGCTAACATGTTGACACACACTTGTCACATTCTAAATAAAATCGCCTTGATCATTTTACATTGCCCTAGAAATGGTGGACATTGGCTCACAGTTCTTCACCTTATAGAATAATTAAGTATTCCTAATAACCGATACACTTTTGTGTATGTGTTTGGAACAGGGTTTCAAAGAACCGAGGAAATACATTGCTGCACAAGGTAATTTATCATCTACTATTCTTTTTTTTTATTGCTTTATGGGATTTTTAAGAAGTTTTGTTTATTAGTTTGCATGTGTTGGCTTCCTAGGACCCAGAGATGAAACTGTTGATGATTTCTGGAGGATGATCTGGGAACAGAAGGCCACAGTTATTGTGATGGTCACTCGATGTGAAGAAGGAAACAGGGTAAGGACCCGACCAATTCCATGGTAGAGCGTTATTCAGGTTTAGGGAAAAGAAAGTGTTGCGCTGTATTTTTTAAAAGAACGTGTTGTTATGTGTTGGGCTGTGATCTGCATGGCTGGCAATTCGAAACCACCAGCAGCTCCACAGCGGGAAGACTGGGTTTTCTACTCCCGTGAAAGCCACAGGGATTTGCTATGAGTCAGCACTGACTCGATGGTAGTGACTTTGTTTTGCGTTTAGTGTAGGGACTTGGTGATTTAAACAGCTCTCTATTTTAATCATTTGTGTTAGACAGGGTTCTTTAGAGATACAAAACCAGATTAATAATCATTATATATAGATAGATATAGATATAGATAGATATAGATATATAACAAGAAATAGTTAAATTATAAAGCAGTTATACAGATAGATACATAACGCAAGAAATAAACAGTTAAATTATAAAGCAGTACCAATGACTCAGTATAATTCAAACTTGTTAGAGAGTTGTGAGACACTGGCAGTCCTTCAAGTCTTGAGGGCCGCCCGGTCGTCCTCTGTAGAGAGGTTCAGGTTATCCCGGCACAGGCAGCAACCAGCAAGGCAGGTCACCAACAGTCAGTCCCCAGCTCCAATTGTGTGGCGAAGCAGATCTTAAAGGAACCTCAAATTACAGCGACACAGTCCACAGGTTAGGCGTCCCACAGGTAGTGTAGCTTGCAAATTGAGGCACAGAACAAGCAAGGCAGCCGCATACTGGTCCGATGATCAGAGTGAGAGACAAGAAAGGCGAGGCTCACTGAGCCATTTATCTCTCCGCCCTGAAATTAATCCCACATTTGTTTATCAGCCAGGCTGGCACAATAAACTAACTGCCTCATCATTGTAACACTTGATTCAAATTTTTGTAAATGACGAAAACTGACCCATGTGTATATCTCAATAGACGTATATATGAAAATTAAGTGTTGCTTGAGTTCTAGTTGACTTCTGTTTTTTGGTGTAAATTTAGTTCATATAAATATGCTAACTTCATAAATGCTTGTGAATGTCTGAACCCTTACTTACTTTAGGCAGATAAATAGTAACTTATACACATAATGCAACTTTAACTAAAAAGCAAACAAACAAACCTACTGCTATTGAGTTGATTGCAATTCACAGTGACCATAAAGGAGAGGAGAGAACGGCCCCTATGGGATTCTGAGACTGCCACTCTGCATGTCTTCCCTACAGAGAAGCTGGTGGTTTCAAACTGCTGACCTTGCAGTTAGCAGCGCAGCTCATAACCACTCTGTCAGCAGGGTTTAGGAAGCATGAATGTCTCCCTGTTCTCCTTACTGAAACAATCCACATGCAACAAATCCCTTTTTTGACCATCAAGGAATACATTCCCTTTAATAGGCTGCTAAGCCTGGGAAGACCATCTTTGTGCAAAGCAGTATGACAGAATTATTTCAAGAGACATTAATGGAAAATGAAATATGTTTCAAACATCATAGCTCAATTGCACATGCAAATAAAGGAGACTATATCAATGGCTTGAGAGCTTCATATGAATAAAGTTTCCTTAATTTTTAATATATATTCAATGAAATGTCTTTAAGTGGGAAAATGGAATCATTGATGATTTTTTTTATGTATGTATACAGAACAAGTGTGCAGAATACTGGCCATCAATGGAACAGGAAACCAAGACTTACGGAAATGTGATGGTAAAGATCCATGACCTGCAAAGATGTCCTGATTATATTATTCAGAAACTGAATATTACAAATGTGAGTTCATGTTGTTACATAATTTTGTTTGGGCATAGTTTTTAAAAATACAGTAATGAAATATT